TATCATTTGTTTTGCTTTCTAAACTACGTCTTAACTTTAATATTTTAAATTTTCTTCTTTTATATCTAAAATTTTGTTTTTCCCGTTATTCTCTATGAGCACTGACTTCAAAGTCTGGTATCGCCGATTCGATACTTATATAATTTGCTTTCTTGACAATTGAACTTAACAAATTTATTTTTCTTTCTTATATCTTTTTTTACTTTTGCAGGGGCTATTTCCGGGGCCTCACATGAATGAAAAACAATTTATGTCATTGAATAGCAATGCAAGAAACAGCAAAAAAAGCGAGAATTGTCATAATCTGAAGTCATCACAGTTGCTCTCTTGCTAACACGTCTCACTGGAAATTTCACTTTCTTGCATCTATGTGGTGATGAAACATTTTTAAACATTGTCCTGGCTGTACTTTCCTTTTAGTGTACCATGCCACATGTTTTACTGCATACCACCATATTTTGTGTACTTTTTCAATTACTAAATAATTACAACAGTCAAACAATTTGTAATTTTTAATAATAATTTTGTCATCCATAAGAAATGTTTTTTATGATAAAAATGAGTAAGTAATTTAAAAAGTAAAATGAAATCTTAGAGCTGTCTATCTTTGTCAGACAAAATTATACTCAATCCAGTTTTTTTCCACTTAATGCATGCAGAACATAATCATTATGATCATGATACACTAAGATTTGTTGAAGTTCACGAATTATTATTTGATTTTTAACAATTTCTTCCTGAAATTTCTTTTTGTCCACAACTTTAGGGCACCCTACCCTATACATTTTGTATCCTTTAGTTCAAAATTTTCCAAACAAAACTTTCAAAACCACATTTGACATCTACGACATTTAGGAGCATCTTCCCCGTACACTAAATGTATTTTTTACTATTTATATAGCATTGTATCCTTTATGAAACTTAAAAAGTATACATAATATGTCTGATATGCATTTTATCAGACATTCCAGTTTCATTTTACATGAACAAAATGTGAAGTAAAGTTTTAAAATTATCTTCTAAACAAAGGCACAATATCACATTAGCAATAATGTATTAAATTTCACAATTATTGTGATTAAACTACATAATTATTGGAAATCATCCTCAGCAGGAAAATAGCAAATTCACCAATACCTTATTTGCCAAGAAAAACATATCTATGTTAAATAAAGACATTAATTAAAGGCACATTAATTAAAATTTCTGCCTCAGATATAAAGGGATTGCTGCAATTAATTTTGTGCATTAATCAAATCCTGCATACCTGTATATTGAAACTGTTCTATGAACGCAAAATGCTTTCAAATTTCACATTTCGTTTAATTTATTTTATTCAGTTTCATGGATGTTATATTTATTACAGATTTGTTTGTTGGAGATAGCTGAACTAAAATGGTTAAACTTTAATAAACACATTTCTGTTTTAATAGATTTAAATGTGCTCTAAATAAATTTTATTAACATAAGAAAATGGAAAGTATTAAAAACTTGCTTTGAAATAATTTATTTGGTATATATTTTAATTTATATTCCAAAATTTAATCTTAGTGTATGAACATTAATCCCTCTTAAAAATGAAAATATATATTATGAAAGAAAAGTTGCACCAGTATTTTTTGATTTCTTAAAAATATTATTTTGTTTTTTTAAAATTGATTTTAAGTATTTGTTTACATCTGCTTATTATTATTATATTGAAATAATTTCAGATGATGAGACAGATGGGAGGGTTAGGTGGTGGAGGAACAGATTTGGGAGATTTGGTAAGTAAAAACACACAATTTTTCTTAATTAAAATTTAAAAAATAATTTTGTTTATACAATTTTTATATTTTAAAGGATGGTGAACCAGACAGTGATGATGATGGTAAGATGAACATTTAAAATTTTTTGGAATATGTGCAATTTAATAGAAATAATTTTAATTTTATTATATTAAAATACATGAGACCAATTCAATAATTTTACCATTTTTGCAGTTCATATCATTACGATATAGCTTGTATTAATCAATTTTTAAATCCTTTATTGAAAAATTTTTTGTTCACATTTATAAAGGTTTTTATATTCTTGTAATAATGTTTTTTAATTATAAAAATAAATTCTAAAATTTTTAACATTTCAAAATTTAGCAATTTTTCGTGAAAAGTAGTGCTTTTTTTTCTTTAAAAAATATTTGATCAAATACAAGTTAATCTGTATTATAACAAATTTGATTCATGCCATGTTAAATGTGTATGATTATTATAACATCAACCACTATATTACATTGTTGGTTTAATTTGACCTTGTATCATTTGGTGAAAGATGATTAATTGATATGTTGTATATTTACTGTAATATAGAGTTGATGAAAAAGTTTTACTTTTTTTTTTTTTACATAAGATGTTGCTAGTAGTGATTAATGGCAATTTATAGTCAATTGTTTTTGTTAGTTTTGCTATGATGTTATGTAACAGATATTACAAAGAAAAGTTTTGTTATTACACTCAAGGTTTTTGAGTTAAAAATGGAGGATCTTAAGTTGCGTTTTAGTCATCTTATATTTTTCTACTTCAGTAAAAAGAAAAACTTTACAACTATACAAAAAAAAAAAAGCCCTTTACTGCTTATGGGGAAGCTACTATTAGTGTCATGTATGTCAAGAGTGGAGAAACAAAATGAAGAATTTATTATAATGTAAATGCACATTTAGCAAAATTCCTGCTTTAACAGTGTTTGGAACAATAAATAAGTAATAGTAGATATTATCAGCAGAAGCAAATACAAAGTAGAAAATTGAAATTGTTCATCTGTTAATAATTTCAAAATGTAGAATTTCATTAAGAAATAGTATATTGGTGAATGTGTGTTAGTTTTCAGTTTTACATTAAAAATTGCAAATCACATGTGAAATTAAAATGTGAGTGTAAAAAATATGGTAGATTTTAAATGATTATCTGTTAATAGATCACAGAATTTAAGCTTTTAATAATTTGGATGCAATTACTGTAAGCATAAAATTTTACTAATAATATACTTAATTTATATTATACTAAGATATTTGAAGATATTAAATACAGGGTAATTTTGCAATTATTTCTAAAATAGTTGTACCCAGCAAAAATATTTGCTGTTAAATTACAAATAAATAAGAAAAAGGAGCAAATAAATTTATTTACATAAAATTTATTAATATAAAACTTATAAAATTTTTCAGTATAAAACATTTTCTTGTGTATACTGAAAATATACAAGAGTTAACAGGATATGTAGCTGCAAGGGGATTTCTTACATCAATCTGTGTATATGGATATTATGGAGATGAAAACTTAAATATTTTAGTTAGATATTTTTTAATTTTATGATTAAAATATAAATCTTTTAGATAGTTTTCAGATCTTATAGCCATCCTAAAACAATTGCTCCCTATATTAGGTCAGGGTGATTATATTCTTTTATCCAATGGAAAGAATTTTTATTCAGTTTGTTGATCAGAGAAAAATAATCAAATAAAACGTTGTCTTATTAATGATAAATTAATGAAAACTACTAAGCGTTTTAAAAATTTATCTTATAGCCATCCTAAAACAATTGCTCCCTATATTAGGTCAGGGTGATTATATTCTTTTATCCAATGGAAAGAATTTTTATTCAGTTTGTTGATCAGAGAAAAATAATCAAATAAAACGTTGTCTTATTAATGATAAATTAATGAAAACTACTAAGCGTTTTAAAAATTTATATTATATGCATGTAAACAAAACTTATAATATTTTTCTACTTTTGTCTCTGTAAAGATGTATTTTAGAAATTGGATAAGCATTTTAAAAGAAAAGTAATTAGTATATCCATTGGCACCTTTAAATATATATATGACTGTAGAATTAATTTATAGGATATATGGAAAACTTTTAATACATTAGCTGGTAAATCAGTTTTAATTTTGGAAAGATAGCCCAGATAGAGGGCTGGGAACACTTGAGAAAAGACAATGCTAAGTTTGGGGTCAAAGTTCAAAGAAGGGTTACGAAGTTGGAGGGAGATGTTAAGTTTTGGCACAAAGTCGGAGAAGGTTATGAAGTGCTGTGACAATGTTGTATGTATACTTAGCGAAAGTTGTAAGTGAATAAAATATTTTGTTGTTCCATTGTCTTGGTTAGTAGAAAAAACTTTCCACTTATGTAATTAATGTGCAGAGCTTACAAATTTTTAGATGATATATTTTATACATAATGTTGTTATAATCATGGCCATTAGCATGATTCATTGTTAACAAAATTGTTTGGATTGTTTTCAGCTTTCACATTTCTAGATATTTTAAATAAGTTTTTAACTGATATTACATTTGAGGTCCATCTATACAAAAATATATTTTGTGCATAGAATAAGTTTCAAATGAATAGTGCATAGTCATTTGGAATAATAATAAAATTGAGAAGTTCCAGAATGTAACATTGGATGCAAGCCAAAATTACAAGTTAGATTGTATAATTTGTTATAAAAGTTAAGTTACATGCTATATCTAAATGCATTCAGAAAATAATACTCTATCAAATTTAGATTTGATATCATATCACTCTTGATTTGTATGGGAAAAAAATGTCAAATCTAAAAATGAAATATCTCTAGGGTATTAACAAGTAATATTATAAACTTTATATCCAATTTTGAGCAATTTTTCAAGGCAAACAAACCAAATAAAAATGAATACTAGACATTTATTTTAACTTTTTCCAAATATTCCATTTTCAACAATTCCAAATGCATTTTGCTAGTTTTAACAGGCCTCATCAGTGGATACATTCATTCACCAACTGTTGTTCCTTTATACTGGTATGACTAGATGCATGCTGGGACAAAATAGTCCAGTATAAAGGAACAACAATTGGTGAATGAATGTATCCACTGATGAGGCCTGTTAAAACTAGCAAAATGCATTTGGAATTGTTGAATATGGAATATTTGGAAAAAGTTAAAATAAAAGTCTAGTACTCATTTGTTATTTGGTTTGTTTGCCTTGAAAAATTGCTCAAAATTGGATATAAAGTGTATAATATTACTTGTTAATACTATAGAGATATTTTATTTTTAGATTTAACATTTTTAAAGAAGTATAATACCTCATTGCTTTTAATTTGAATTTATATTTACAATGTTAGTTTTATTTAAGACTTTCTGGAGTTTGAAGAAGTGCTTGCAAATGCCTCTGCAGACAGGAGTTTCTAGGTATTTTCAAAAAAATATTAAATAACCAATAATAGTTGTCATGATATTTTGGGATTTGTTACTTTATACGTAAGTTAATGTGAAACAATTAAAACAGTAATTGTTAAAGAAAAAAATGTTTAGAAAATTAGCATAAAATGTCTTTTTAATATAAAAAAAAAGTCATGTGTTGGATCACACCAACTAGGATAAAGTTTCAAACATTTTAGTTGGCATTTACTTTGGGACTGCCATAAGCTTTTAGATATTAAAGCATAATTTGCTTTTGTGTGGAGGAATTCAACGCATTTTACATGGAGAATAACAGACTTCCCAATAGTCTGTAAATTTACTTTGTGTAGACTACATATGAGTCTAAAGCCATTCGGATGATAAAATAACATGTAAAACTGTAAATCTATAACAACCTTTGTTTTTTAAAGGAAAATTGGCTTGACAAACAAGATCATCTGTAAACTAGATAGTGTTAACAATAGAATGCCTTGAAATTAATCATAATTGTTTGAAAATTTTAATTATATTTTATCCCATTTAAAGTGAAAATTATGTTCAAAAGATTGTTTTATATGAGAATCAAGTTGTAATTATTGATCACTAATGAATAAAAAAAGTATGCAGTGGGTTGTATTTAACACACACATTTTAATCTCACCATGAGTAACATCCATTGCCAAATGTCTGGTAGCACTATTCTGTCAGCATAGCTGTTTTTCACGGATAAATAGCATAGACTTCTCTAAAGCAGTTAGAATGGCATCTGTTGACAGGAATCAATCACCTACAAGAAATTCTTTGAACATCACTTAGAGCCTGCACTTGTGCAATAGGGTTGGAAGATTCCTTGAGTCCCTATGAGTTTGATTTTTTTCCAGACACTAAAGTAGTTTTTACATTTTCCATTTGACATATGCTATTCTAGTTATAATAGTGGTCCATACACTCCATTTGTGGAAGTGGTCTGCCAACAGAGTATGGTGCCTGTCAGACATTTGACAATGGGTACTACACATGGCCAGAGACAATGTGAAGTGTTATTACATCAATTTGCTATAATTACTATTTAAAAACAAATTTTGTTTAACTCAATATGTTGTTTAAAAACAACTACAAATGGATCCTAAGAATTTGTGATAATTTTGATTTCATTTGAAATAACTTGATAGATCCGCTGATATTTTTAATCCAATCCAACATGCATTTGAGAATGAAATAATCTAAGAGAATTGAAGAAAAATATAAACATAAGTAAAGTAAAATTATAATGAAGAGTTTATTTTATCATTTTAGTTTCAAAATTGTTTACTACAGATTAAATGTTGCTGAGAAACAAAACAACAGAAATACAAAGCATTTATTCATTCATATGGGGACATAACAGTATGTGCTGTACATGCAAGGAATGTTGTTCAATGTATTTCACATCATTTAGATGTAAAATCTGAAGATGATTCTTCTCATATGCAATACAGAACTGTCCTTTGTCTGCCAATGTTGCAACATTATCATAATAAACTATATAGTAGTAGCCTGGGACGCCCCCTAGTTGGCGTTCTTTACAAATTTCCATGAGGCACAGTTCCTTTGCCTTTTTTGTTCCTATCAATATGCTCTACTTCGTTAAAGTCCCAGTGGTAAGATTTACCCTCCAAATGAAGGGGTAGCGACCCCCCAAAACTGTAGCCCCCTGTGCA